ATATATGGTAATGATGTGCCTATATATGGTAATGATGTGCCTATATATGGTATTGATGTGATGTCATCATGACCATATGATATTCTGTACAGCGCTTAACATTAGCATGCATCCTGAGAGTCAGGTAGTATATGCTAACATGCATGTTACCTTGGCTAGCCACACTGCCTGATTCCATTGACCATAGGTTTGTAGATACCTGCAGGCATCCAGTCCTTTATCAATCAGACACAGCAATTGCACTCCCTCTACAGAATCAAGCAAGGAGAACACAATGATTTAAATTGCATTCACATTGGTTAAAGCAGGAGTTAACAGTAGAATTATGTTTATACTCTGCAGTAAATGCAGTCCCTTCCCCAAGGGAATAATTCCCCTTGTACTCTAATTTTCATCGTATAAGAAAAACTGTGAAATTTAAGCTCACCTTTTTTTTTTACAACAATACATAGGGTAGACAACGTCCTATGAAAGTAGACCCACATAAATTAAAAAAACAGCTTCACCATAGCATGTCTTTGGAATTCAACTCATCTTGTAGAAAAACTATGTCAAATCATCCATTGCTTAAGATTACAGCAGAGGTACATATGATATTATTTTGCTAAAACAACTTGCTTTTCATTTGTAGTCCTAGCCCTAGACTACAGGTAGATAGGAGAACTGCATCTATGAAGACCGCCCTCAATATGTTTCATTATGAATTGCAACTTACCCGATAATCTACCATTTGCTATGAGACTTGTTGCTACTAGTTTAATTGTACTCTGAGACGCACCAGAAGACCTGATCGTTGCCACCAAGCACGCCCTCAAAAGGTCCACGTAATAACTGTCATTCTCTGATTCAGTTTCAAGGAAAAGTTGTACAGCTCTATCAGTCTACAAAGAGAATTGCAAAGTCTGATGAACTTTCATGAACTACGACATTAAAGTGCATATAAATGAATGCAATTAACCTCCCATGTATTTTACTAAATTTTATACATGTTATTTTTTTTGTAAAAGCAGTATTTAAATTTCTGTTCAACTGTCATCAACATATCGTCCACCAATCAGAAACTAATCTGACAAAATTATTCATACCTGTCCCAGAAGCATCAAATTTTCTGCACATTTCTTAGTATGTGTATATGTCGCCCTCTTGCTGTCATGGAGACTCAGACGTTCCAGTTGGTAGTGCTAAATATGGAAAAACAAAATCAAACTTGGATTGGATTGAACACCAAGGATAACCCGCAAATATCTGAAGAAGACTTATTTCCAGTGGGGTCCTTCTGGATGGTGATTGGGCAGTACACTGGAAGACAATCCCCTACTCTTTTCCGAAGAGAGTATTGCATTATTTAACGTGCACATTGGCCATAATGCACACAGGACCAACAGCTTTAACGCCTTATCTGAAAGACGGTGCGCTATCGTAACTTGCATTTCAGCTGAAATACAAGAAGAGCCAGGGACCAAGACATCTCCACGGTTCAGTGCACACATAGTGGCTACCAACAGTTTAGCTGACTGAGCTAAGCTGCTCAACTTAATAATAATAAAGCAATAGATATTGATCATCAAAAAGTTGAGAACCAACAGAATTTGTTTTTAATAAATAAAACACAAGACAAACCTTATATGACTGGTTGGTACAGAGGGTATCATAGCAGAAGTCCAGAGATGGTTCCTTGAGGCACGTGCATTGCTTTCCAGCATTATCCTTCCCATCTGTAAGATGCAATAGATCACTGCAACCTGCTATATGCATTGGGTCTAGAGGATCTCCAGGGAGATAGATGTTGGACGTTGAGGGTGTTGCTGCAAGCTCTGTGCAATTCTGCAATTTTACAAAACACGTTTTCTATAAATGAAGAATTTACTAAGAAATGATGCAACTTCTTCAGTTGTTGTTAATTATTTGTCTTTGACTGGATAACTGGAACATTGGTACATTGGAGTAAAACAAGAGAACATAAAAAGAAGATGCAACAGTATTCTAGTTGGAAGTCAAAGATTTTAACCATTAAGGCACAGTTCTTACCTCATATAAACAAAAAATATGAAAAATTAGGCTAAAACACAAAATACAAGTACAAAAATAATTAGACCAGGACACACCTTGTGAACTGTACAGCTAAGTCTGGCTTGCTCGCTCTTCAAGTAATGCAGTGCCACAGTCCAGAAGTTCATCTCTGCTTCATCTCCAAATAAATTGGCAGCAAACAAGCAACGTTGAGCTGTTCCGTATGGACAGGAAGCCAAGTAGGACTGGATCTCCATTGGCAAGATATTCATCTGGGTATTCACCAGCTCAATGATGTTTTCATCTTCTGGAGTTTCACTACAAAAATAAATGAATCACTAAAAGTAATATACATTTCATTGGACTGGTTTGTTAAATGCACTTAGTTGTCTAGAATACCATGGACTTAATGAGTGACACAACTTTTTACAAGTAAAAGTTAGTATTGTTGTAGAACTTTTTTAATCCTTAACAAAACCAAAACCAGATGAAACTCTTCGAATATTTGAAAATTTAATATTTTGTATGGCAACAGAAATATTAGTTGGCATTGCATTAATATTTCAGCAACAGAGGGCAGTATATATATATTTATTTTTATGACACCAAGGCCTCCACAATTCTACTTACTATTCACTTGAAAGTTCTAAGGTGTACGAGTCATTCCAGGCCTGGTGTTGGATGGTATATTTCATGGCTAGCCCGGCCTTTGCTGTCAGCAGATGAGGGCAGAAAACAGGTTCTGAAGAATTAACAAAAAGCATTCTGGTTAATTTTTTGAGGATGAAGAAGATGCAGATTAAGGCTCTAGTGCATGTTTTGTCAGTGGCATATTCTAGGCATCTTGAAAAGGGGGAATGATTGGGGCGCAAAGGTGAAGTGGGGAGGGTTCGATGACTAAGTGAGGTGGCGCTAGCTCACAAAATACGGTGATATGAGATTATTTTTATCAACTTGAGCATGATGTTTTACTGCCAACTTTTTCACAGGGGTGAATGCAAAGTGCAAGTTTTCTTAGGGGAGTGCGTGCCCTTCCTCTATGCCCCCCTTTCCCCACTGTATTTTGTTTCATATTAACTGACACCTCTGTGCTCCCTTGAAAGTTAGAATGACATGTCATGCTCCAGTCCCTTCTAATAACTCTGTCAGAAACAGAAGTGATTCTCCATGACACTTTACCTGGAAGCACACTATGCGCCAGGGATGTACAGGTAGTCTTAAGCTCTACGTCATACACTCTCAAGCATCCATCTTCGGTAAGCACAACTGGTTTATCAGATGACGCCCAATCAGAATCCAGCACTTTGAAACTCTCCTTATTACCACGAAGACCACTAATTCTGGAAATCTGTAACCAAGAATAAAAAACTTTTAAAAATACCGTAATTATGTTCTGTGTTAATAATATTAATAATATTTAACATTATCAATAAAAATGTTAAGTTGTGCAAGTAAGAGAAATATAGTTGCATTAAAATTGAGATAAACTATAATATCAAGTAACATGTTTTAAGTAAATCTTTAAACATTTTTTCTTACTGATGATGTGTCCCATATATCAACGCCATCATTCCATAGCACCATTAATCTCATATTGCCTTTCCCGGGAGCAAACTTCAACTTCTTCAGCCATCCACGGTGTGTAGGTACATTCCTGGAAGATGAGATATATGCTAGACTGGGCTGGGCTAGGCCAGGCTAGGCTAGGCTAGTCTAGGCATACTGTATTTCAAACTATCTCAATTATAATCATAACACCAGCTATGTTGAAGAATGTACCATATTTTCAAAAACAGTTTCTCAACAAAAAATACTTTAGGGAAGTATATATTTAGTGTTTCTTGAAAACATCACATTTGGCTTTAAGCTTTAATGTCCATAGGCAGAACATTGAAAAAAAGGCAATCACCGGCCATGTGATAAAGTTTATATTTTTTATGCTTAACACAGTGCAAAACTAAAACATATGAGAGGTTTAAATAAAATCACATGAATAATTTACCCCTACTGTATAAAGCCACCTGGACATGTTGATATTACGTTTGGTATATGTGAGTGTGTGTACTGATAAGGTACCAGACTACTTTACCCTTGATTTCTGCGAGATTGAAAATAAACCTACCTGGATATTTTACCCTTGATGTCCCAGAGATTTAAGTTGCCTTCAGTGTCACCTAATACCATCAGGTCCTGTTTCCATGCAATACATGTCACACTACCCATTCCACTCTGTTGACAAACAAATTACTGTGTTAATACAATGTAAAATATTTACATGTTATCTAAAAGTACATACTGCCAGCCAGTATAAGGTAGTACTTATTGTTGGGCCTTATGTTTGACATGATGCTAATGGAGTATTAATAATATTAATCACTTACACTGCACACAACAATACAGAAACTCATATGTAAGCTACACAATTGCCTTACCTCAGGTGGCATCTTGGAACCATCTTTAACTGTACTGCCCTCAACAATGAAATGATACAGAAGTCCATTGTTGTCCGTAAACACAAAATGCTCTCGAGCAATGGATGGTGAAGCAGTTTTAGTGCTAGTGTGTACCCCAACAGTATCTTGAACAGAATTTTAATTAATTATTGTCAATAATTACCTGTTCAAAGATATATAATTGAATTGATGACGTATGATTTAAACATAAACAAATGAGGTCTGAACATTAAATCACTCCACCTCCACGGTGGGTCACTGCCTATAACATTAACAAGAGTACCTCTAACTGTAACATCATCAATGGTGCATGGTGTGGCGCCCTCAAACATACCTAGTATATGTGTTGTAACTGGAGTCGCATCTTTAGCAGGCAAGTTGCCCGTTAATGATTCTTGTAAAGCCTGTTGTCGTTTCTTTAAATTCTTGACATTATGTGATGGTGACCATTCCTGTCAAATGCCAAATTAATATCAGCCATTATATTATATCATATTTTATTATATTATATTTTATTATTTTTTTTAATTTGTATTATTATAATTAAATTTTATTTCAATACAGTGGAAGTAATGTAAATATATACACAAATATATACAAACATATAAATTTATTACCAAAGTTGTGATTATAGGAAAGTTCCCAGGCATTTCTCTGAGCATTGTACATGACTTCATATCCCATACTTCGAATGCCTTTTCTTTGAACATTATAATAAAATAAAGCCTGGCAAAGAATAAATAATAAAAGGTTAATCAATCAATCAATCAACAATTATTAATTCATCAAGCATATATTTACAAAAGTATTATCAATCATTTTATTATTCATGTTTTTGGGGGACTACACAATATAATTATTAATAATTACTATAAAATAATTATTATGTAGTCAACAAAACCACCAATCATCAGTTGCATACAAAAATTTATTTCTGATTCTTTCCTTTATTCAATCACTTACTTGAGGTGAGAAACTTTTACAGCTTCAATAGGTGACTCTTCCCCCTTTTCTTTCCTGAATGGCATAGTCCGTCCTGTTTGGAGATCCAATAGAAGAAGCTCATTTCGGACTAGTCCATTATTATTGGGGTTTGGATGACTGAAGGAAAAGAAGCTGTTGAGGTTGACCCACTCAATACCTCTGAAAAATTAAAAATTCTGAATTTAGTAATCATAGATAATTTTTTTTTTAATGCATAACATGTACAAAAAAGAATTTTTTAAAAATGTTCATATTGATAGATTATTTTACATATCACAGACATAAATATTATTAAGCATGATGAATTTATTTGTGAAGCCATAATAGTCTAATATATAGTTATGGACTAAAAAATATCATTTAAACCATAATTCAGGTGACCATGATCTGAAGTGCCAGTCGTCTGACGAATTTCACTATGTGAATGAAAGCTTACATTAAAGGAAAAATATATAAAGCAGTTTAATACCAACAAGCATACCTAATGTTGGATATGTGTATGTTGTACTCTTTGACAAGAGCCCCAGTGGACAAGTTGAATACTTGCACCAGACCAGTTGCTGTACCCACTGCAACCAACGGTTTATGGTATGAAAGATTCTTGGTAGTAAGCGGTGGACACATACGAATTACAGTCGGCATCAGACCGACGCCGCTCAACAAGCCTGTCAAGACAAACTTTAAGATAACTTCATGTCCGTGTTGTTGTTTCTCGCTTCCAAGTACCTGAGTGTGTCCAATGAGATCAGATAAGCACATTTTTGGGTACGGTGCAGCAGCTTGCGATTTCTGAGGTGATTTTATTGGCGGTAAAAATTCAAATTCCCCGTTACTGTCGCTGGATAGTCCAGGAGAGTACAGCGGTGTGAGGACAAGCTGAGAATGGGTGTTGCTGATGGTACTTGGAATGTAGTCAATGGTGATCATGTTCCAGAAGAGAATGCGGCCGTCACTCATAACAAGAGCAATGCTACGTTCTGTTGATGATGACACCGCGATGCTGAATGCACGCACATGCTTGGTGACACGCAGGGGATCTGACTGGCAACGTAGGTCATATATTACATCAAGCTGGTCAAAACCGCTTCCCCCATCACCTAATGATAATATATAAATAGTAAAACTAGAATTACAAATTTCTACCACTTTTCCGCTGTCTGAAAAATTTAGATGTGGTTAGATATTGACCACCATACATTTAAGTTTTTCAACAACACGTGATTACCTGGAAAATTGTTAAAACTCCCTATTTGGTCAATTGGCGTTGCTGCCGTGAGAGGGTTGGCGCACTGTCCATTGCGCCGCACACGAACACTGATGCTACCATTCTCATGCATACATATAAGCACATCACGTTGTCTATGATGAAAGAAAAAATATTGTGAACTAATTTTTATTGGATGCATGAAAATATATAAAACATACATATATACATTAATATAAAATAATAGGAAGTGCTTTCATGTTAACTAACCTGCAAGGATAAACCATCTGGAATGGAGAACCGCTTCTTTCCATAGGGATTGTTCCGACGGTTTGATTAATCTCAAGGTCCAGAATGAGGATTTCACGCGTGTACAACAAAAGAAGATGATGTCGGCAAGACTGTAGGTAACATAACTGAATGCAGTCGTTCAACGAGATTGGGTCCACATCAGAGCTACCGCCCTCACCATTTCTAAAGAGGAAATATTTTTTCTTATAAACAATATTTCTTATTTACTCAGCTTGCACATTTTTTTTTTTCAAATTTTGGTCAGAATTCATCCTTCTATACATAAATTTAAACATCCTGAGCTTTTCATCTAGTCATATTTTGTGATGCATCAAACACTTTCACCCTTTAACCTTTAGGAAAAAAGCATACACATGAGTACAATACATTATGAAACAAGTTATGGCTCAATGTTAAAACTTAGCAACCACAAAGAAAAACAACCAGTAACATGTAACTAGTTTAATTACTAGTTATACAGAATATAAATTGTATATACATAAAACATTAATAATTAATTTTTGTTAATATTACAATTGATAAAATAATTATTACTATATTATTCTGTAATCATATACTTTATAAATAACTTTATTTTACTAATCTAATTTTTAAACAATTTTTTTAAAATGTTTTTAATCTTTTTTTCTGAATGTCTGTGCAGTATGTGTTTTGTTAATTAATATAATTAATCCTTTGAAGTTTTTATTTTATTGCCCTGTATTATTGTATCATTTAATTCAGTCCTCGACTGCGATTTTGATATTGAATAAAATAAAATGAAAGAAAAATAAATAAAAAAAATTACTTTGGTTTATTATCACCAACCAGGAGGCGCACTCTATTGAATGCTCCTTTGGATTTCCCTCCATTTTTCTTTTCTCCTGAGGTAAGGTTGTTGCTGCTACCTGATGGGCTAGGAGTCGAGTTTGGGGATGTGATGTAGAATTTACGTCCATTGCTTGAGGGTGGCTTAGCAATTGAGAAGTCGTTGACAAATAGGATACAATCATTACCAAGCACTGTTAAAAAAAATGTATAAAACCTGAATTATAACTTTATTTAGCTATAGTTTCTTTTTTAATATGGTATAATTATTAATATACAAATTTTTCATCATTCCATCATACTAAATGGAATGAATGATTATAATTGAAATAAATTTAAAAATAAAAATATTATAAAATGTTTAATAAATCTTTGCATTTTAAGAGGTACTAATTTGACATACATGTTAGGTTAGATGGGTCAAAGGGGTCAAATGTCATAGAAAGAATGTTATCTGTGAAAGTCTTCTTCCAAAGTTTAGTGCCAGTTGCAACGTTCCATAAGATTATTGAGTAAGGTGGGTGAAGAGCTACCAGAAGGTCATGGGATGCATCTTGTGTGGAAAGCCATTCCATCTCTGTGAAGTGATTGAGTAAAAACAAACGATTTAACAATTTTCAGTTTTAAGTACAATGTGACAAAACATTTACATTATTTTACCCTCAAAAACCATTTTTGAAATACTGTAAATAAATATCATACAAAAATGGCAGAAATGAATCTTACCCAAAACAGGTTTATTGCCTTCAGAGAAACTGCTGCGTTCACAAGCTTCACTGACATCCCAAACAATGATGTGACCGGAGTTGTCGGCGGAGGCAAGCCGTAGTGTGTACGGAGATTCTATTGTATGATGATAATTCTCACGTGCCCACTTTACCCTCGTCACATGACTTTTATGCTTCTCAAGAGTTTGAATAATCTAGAAATAATGGTGAAGAAGAATAGATACCATACTGTAAAGTTTTTAAATTGCGTGGATGATACCTAAAAAATCAGCTCAAATTTGCACGGAAAATTGCTAGGAAAATAGGTGTACAGAATCATAAATACTGCATAATACATTGTTTATATATTAAGATTAAGAAGTCAAAGCTTAGTTTTCGGCAAAATCTGCGTGGAAATCTTTCCTTGTGTCCAATTACCTTTCCAGAATATCATCAATGACTCAGTGTTCTTTCTCACTTTTATCTCAATTCAATTCAATTCAAAATAACATCTTTTAATAGTTTACAAATATTGTTGTAATGACTGTGATAAACAAATAAATCACATTAAACTAAAATTCTGGATTGGATGATAAGCTATTGACACAGGTCCTGACCAAACAGTGTGCCCTGAAAATAACCTGGCATAGGAAAAGAAGGGTAGGGAATGTCTGACAGATTGTTATCTTGTAATGTATTGTGTCATATCAGTGATACCACAACATGGGTGAAAATAATTATATATGATGGCAATCCTTGGCATAAAAATAAAATACACTGCACATTAAATATGATCAACAAACAGTAAAGCAATACCATAATTAATAACTTATTTTCCCCTTGGTAATACATACCTGGGCAGTCCTTGTATCAACCACTACAACAGCAGTCTGACAGCCATAAGCAAGGAGGTTAGGCCATCCCCTACAACCATAATAAAAAGGTAATCAATTTATTTCATAATGTCGACTCATACAACAACTATACCTAGAAAGAAGCTAGCTATTTATGGTTTTGCCTGCTGTTACGCAACTCTATCAACAAATAAGATAGGCCTACCCTAGGCCTAGGCTCAAAACACTCGTACTTAGCATTGACTCCACCGGAAGAACGGCGTACGGCCTCTGTAGAGTGGTGAATAAACAAACCTACCTAGGCCTAGGCCCAGTCTAGCCTAAATCTAGCTGAAAATAAAACCTACCAGTCAGATGCACTTTTATTCAGGTTATGGAGTATACCTCCAATTGTCTTAGGTACAACATTCATAGTAATCTAACGTTGAACATTTAAAATCAGGACATCTCAGCAGCTTCTAAAATTTGCCAACAAATCTTTTTTAATGCAGCTCTTTTATTTTCTAATCATAATATACAGCGCCCTCAATTTCCAAAAGAAGTTTCTACTAGCATCTTTGGTTTATACCAAAAAATATTTTCGTTCAGTCAGTTTAGCTTTTTATATAGAGTAGAGCCCCTATTATTAGGTGACATCCTCAGGACCAAAACCTTATAAAAGTACGAAGAAAAAAAAAAGTCCCATGTTTAGTTTATACAAAGTAACACACACAATTGGCCCGCTAAGTCAAGAAAAAAAAAATGTTAACTTTACCATTTAAAAGTTGTCTTAATTTATAATATTGTATAATTTATAATTGACAGTCTGCAATTTCGGATGTAATGTAAAGTGAGATCGATATTGGTGTAGAAATTAGCTACCGACAATTAAAGACCGAGTTGTACAACAATTAAAGCTGGATCTGGTTTTTATTCAAGCTAATGTGCCCACAGCACAGGTTGGACGATCACGCTCTTCTTCCGAGAATCCCTCGCCGTCTAGTCTACCCACGAGGGAACACCCCATAATATACTTGAGGTAAAGAAAGAATTTCACTTGGTTTTATAAGTATAGTAGAAAAATATCTGTTCTGAACTAACTGGTTCTATAATACAAAGTTGAAAGGTTACACTGCTTCCTCTTCCCAAGAAGTGTCCCACTTCTTAAATGCATGCTGAATAATAACAAATACATAGCATATCTATGCATTATAGTTACATAATTAATATAACAATACATTAAAAATAACAGTCTGCACTGATATAGGCTAGTATAAAGAATCATTTTATAGAGTTATAGTATTTAACTACGTATACATTGATATTCCTTTATTTAGTTGGTTGTTCATGTGTCAATTATTATCAATAGTAGAGTATAAACGAAGTAACTTTGTGGTTGGTACTGTGGCCTAGTTTAATAATGGAACTTCAGAAGATAATATAATACATACTCCAAGTATCGAAATGCACGCCATCGTGTCGGGATTCAATATTTCGACATTAATTATGTCATCATCAGGAATGATGATGACATAATTAATGTCGAAATATTAAATCCCGACACGATGGCGTGCATTTCTATACTTGTAGTATGTATTATACTATCTTATCTGAGATTAATCAGTGGACTTTTCGGTTTTTAGAAGCTACAATCGGAGATCCTCTCTGATGAGTCTGTTCAGTTGCACACCGAACTAGCGCAGGGACGTATCCAGGGGTGGGGGGAGCCGTGGGAGCCGCGGCTCCCCCGGCCCTTTGTACACACTGTTAAAATTTTAAAGCTTATTCTTGAGCCAATACAA